CAATAAACTGATTTTCCGGGAATATATACTTTTGTATGGGAGGTATATGAAATTTTGGACCGATTCCGCAAATTTTCAACCGGAATCAAGAAATTAATGTGTAATGGTTTTCATGGAATTATGTATTTTTGCATAGTTTTCGTGAAAATTGCATCAGAATGTGTATAAAAAGCTTTTTTTTCGGAGTTGTTTTAAACCATGAAAGTAATTTTTCCCAAGTTGTAATTAGATGGCAAGTTGAAATACATATAGCTCGTGAATTTGATAACATTGTGTAATTTTTTAAGTCATGGAAATATAACATATACGGGCACCACTACGTGATAAAAGGCCAAAAAAAGTGTCTCTTAGTTTTGCCCAAAATCATGCACTTTTTTTATGGGCCACCATAGATTCAGGTTCTCAGGCTCATATCTTGCAAACCGTTCGAAATTTTGATTTACTCTCAGTCAAAAAAAAAAAAAAAAAAAAAAAAATTGTGAACATATAAAATCAAAAAAACATTATCATAATTTCTATAGCCTCCACCACCATCAGTGGTAATAGAGAGTATATATAACTTTGTCATTCCGTGTGTAACACCAAGAAATATTCATCAGAGAACCAACAAAGTATATATATTCTGGGACCTTATCAAATTGTGAGCGTGCTCATGATCTTTAAAATCAAGAAATTTATACACTTTGCCTCTTGTGTTTTCCATTGATCTTATCTGTAGATTATGTCTAAGGTTCAATAACTAAAGACTCCACTAATACTGTTCTTTCGCAGGGCTTCTTCATACTTGAGGGACATTTGCGGTCAATGCTGTGCATTTTTCAGAAACCATGTTGGTGACAAGCTGCTGTAAGGCTGGGTAGGAGTAGAGCCTCAAGCGAGCCTTAGAGACAGTTGACAAGAGAGATTTCGCCCCAGAAGATTGCCCCCACACTGCGTCCCTACAAGCTTTTAAAATTGGGTCGACTCTATCTTCTGATATCGGGTCTTATGAAGCTGCTCACCGACATGTTGAGAACCAAATCTCCCCTCGCTAAGGTGTTCGAACATCAGCATGGATATTTTGTAGTGCCCAATCGCCTTAGATGTTTTGAAATTCTTGATGAATTCTGCAACTTCAGCTGCGGTGTAGGGTTGTGAAAAGTCTGTGGCTTTAAGGTTTTGATTTGTTTTTTGGAAAAATTAACGCGAGAACTGTTCAAGGTCAGAAATGTGAATGTGTGCAAACTTAATCGCAACCCTGTCATCGTTCTTCGTCGGCTTGAAGAGAGATAGAATTGTGGACCACATTTCTTGTATAAGTTTGGGGAGTCATGGATCGCTAAGTTAGTTCATAGTTTGGTCGATGTATACATTATATATGTACATGTAACCCTTCAGTTGAGTTAACTACAAATCATTTATTATCAAATAATTAAAAAATTGGTAATTAAAATTTCAAATTAATTTATAGAATTCCTGAATAAGTAAATTTTAACATTATGAATATTTTATTTAATAATAATACTAATTTCATTTATTATTTCCATGCTCATTTTACAGAAATAAACAATAATATTACTTACTTAGATATACAAGCACTTGTTTTTCAAATATTTCTATATAAATAAATAGTAGTTTTTCATAACTATAAGTGAGCATTTATTAAAACAGGATATGACTTTCATATCCTTGGGAAAGCAACTAAGCATATTGAATTACATAAATTTTTTAGAATAAATAAATATAATGGAGCTAATGGAAATGTTCATGTACATATGTATATGTAAATACTAACACAAAAAAGTCAAGGGTCAAGTAGCGGTATTCAATATCGATCGAAATGTCCATTAAGTTTAAATGGAAATTTTGCACGTAACTATTTTCATAACACTCAACAAGTAAAATATATAATCGTTTTTTATTATTTTTTATTTTTTAAAGTTATGAATTTTAGCTTACTGGTAATTTAACATAATGGATTGAATTACTTTTGATTTCTAAGATATTTTTTTTATATATGTACTTAAAAAAACAAAAATGTATATTTAATATGGTATTCTTAGGTGCAGATGTTTTACCTACAATGTGCCTGTCATTCTCCGACAGACACAATTAGATGAATTGCAGACTTATTCAATGTAAAATATGTTCTTTCATATCTATTTCCAACTGAAATTTATGTTATGTACACTTCTATTTTATGGTATTCCTATAGGGGATACAATGCGATTGTACTGGATTGAAACTGATTGAAATGGTCCGCCGAAATTCGACATTGCCCCAAGTAAAGCAATCTCCATATGTAAAAGGATCTCGTAAGTAAATCACTGCGACTTTAATAAACCTCTCGCATATTTCGATTTTAAATATCTGTACAGAGACAAAATTCAACATAAATAACTTTAATATAAATTACTTTAAAAGTTTACTCTACTATGGTTGTAGGGAACATGAAAGTTGAGCTCGATTCACTATTCTTTCCCACTTGTTTGCTTTTGTACCTTTAATAGTTTTTACACAATATAAATCAAATTTATGTTTATGAATTATTAAAATATTTGATACATTTCCTTCGAGAATTGTTGGCAATTTGCATACAAATAAACACACTTTTACATACAACATATTTTTATTTATAATAAAAATAAGGTTTTAATAAATTGGATTTTGTATAAAAAAATTTTGTTACAGTTTGGTTTGTATGAATGAATCCAATAGAGTATATAAAACAAGTTAGAGTGCTATATTCGGCTGAGCCGAATCTTAAATACCCTCCACCAGCCACTTTTATATTAATACTTTTCTAATTGACCAAATATTTGTAGAAATAAGTTTTCTCATGTCTTAAATAGAAAAATCCCAAGATTTAAACAGCTTAAATCTATTACAATTCCAAGATATATTGAACATCACAAACGTCATTTTCTTTATATTTTTATAGCGCTTAGCGATATTTAATAATTTGCATGTATGCATATGTGTGAAATATTTAAGGATTTTCAAAATACATATGCATAATTTTGTTCTACACAAATTGATAATGCAACTAGTTAAATACGGTTAAAGCGCTTTTAGGGGAAGGGCCTAGTATGGGAGATATGACCAATAATAGACCGATCGTAAAAAATTCTTTAAGCTAAATTTCTGTACATAAAAGCTATATTTTGTATCTATATCGTAATTTAGTAATAAGTAATGTGTGTTTGAGTGATTTTCGGAATGGAAACATGTATGGGACCGATCGCACTCGTGTTAGAACCGATCGTGAAAAAAATCTTGAAATAGAATTTTTGTATATAAAACTAATACTTATGCCAAATTTTGTATCAATAGCTTTATTTTGTAATGAGTAATGTGCGTTTAAGAGATTTTCGTAAAGACAAAATTTCAAAATTTTGTATCTATATCATTATTTGGTAATTATTATTGTGCATTTAAGTGATTTTCTGGAGGGGACCTAGTATGAGAGCTATGAACAAATACGGACCGATCGTAAAACAATTTTATAGTGTAATTTATGTATATAAGAGAAATATTTTTGCTAAATGTATGGATATCAATATTTGGATATGACCAAAGATGGACCGATCGTGAAAAAATTTTAAAATAACATATATGTGTACAAAAATAGTATTTATGCCAAATACTTTATGGGTATCACTATTTGGTAATTAGTTATGTGCCTTTAAGTGTTTTTCTGAAAGGGACCAAGTATGGGAGCTATGATCAATTATGGACCGATAGGAAATACCTATCTCTGTATATGAGCAATACTTGTGCCAAACCTTGTATGAATATCTTAATTTAGTAATGAGTTATGTGCGTTTAAGTGATTTACGGGAGGGGACCTTGTATAGGAGTTATGACCAGTTATGGACCGATAGGAAAAAAATTCTCAGTAATATTTTTGTCCATATTAGCAATACTTGTACAAAACTATATATGGATATTTTGATTTAGTAATGAGTTATGCGTGTTTAAGTGTTTTTCGGGAGCTATGACCAATTATGGTCCGATCCAAAAAAAACTTTCACAGTAATATTTCCGATCAAGAAAATGGGTGAATTCCATTGACATAAGATTGTAATTTGTAAAATTTTGTGAAGATATCGACATTGTGACGGAAGTTCTTAACAAAAAAACCCATTTTCCGGGAATATGTACTTTTGTATGGGAGGTATATGAAATTGTGGACCGATTAGGGCAGTTTTCAGCAGGGATGAAGCTGTTGTGTAGAAACGAATGTGTGGTGATTTTCATGAAATTATCATGCATAGTTTTCAAGAAATTTTGATTCATAACTTTTCCCGGTGTAAACCGATTTTTCTCATTTGCAATACCAAACAACTTAGGAAAATTAATATTTTGGGTGAATTTGGTTAAATTATATTGCTTCGTTTTATCGTGTACGTGTTTTATACAGACAGACGGACATAGCTAAATCGGCTCAGAATTTGATAGGGACCCAGGTTAGGTCTCAGGTGAATATTTCTTGGTGTTATGCACGGAATGACAAAGTTATGTATATATACCCTTTATCACCACAGATGGTGGTGGAGGGTATAAAAAAGTTAGAAATTATTGCCAGAAATACTCTATAAGAGTGATTCGGAAGACGTAATACGAATGCAAGGACTAAGTGGAGAGATGCTCATAGTAAAATAACTAAGCTGCGGTGTTGTACTCACAACGAAAGTGTACTAATGAACATGAGACCCAGGATCGTATTCCTTATTTTCAAGTACTTACTTATGTTCTTATATGTAAGCGAGCTTGGTAAATACTTGCCTCCAATGACATCGACATTTTGAAATAATGAGTTTAAATGTGAATAAGTTCGAATAGCTTAAGAACTCATTACATTTCAATGTAAGTTTTTGTTGGTTAATTGTGTTGTTGCTGGATAATTTGTGTAAATTTGGAAAATCTTTAATAAAATAAATAAACAAATACATACTACTTCAATTATTGAGCCAATGTTATATAATCTAAAGTTTTTTTCAAAATAAGTCTTAACTTACCGTATTTAAATTTGTTATTTTATCCAATTCTACTGCCGTACTGCCACGATGATGCAGATGTGGTAAATGATGTGTCGTCAACATTTTTCTTCAAAAATCTTCGCTTAAGTCTTTAATCTTAATTTAAAAGTTGCACAAAGTCACCAAGAAAATACTAACTGAAAATAGAAAATACAACAAACTTTAATATAAATATGTTAGTATGTATGTAAATATGTAAATTATTTATATAAAATAAACCAAAAACAAAATTTAACACGTAAAACGTGTTTATAAGTTTATAAGAATTTTCCCATGAATACAAACAAAAAAGCTTGAAAATTTACTTTCATATTTATATTCTTTATTATTGATGAAAAGTACTTCGTCGACTTTACAATAACGCTTTGAACTGGTCCATTCTTATTCACGATATCTATGCGGGAGTAAGAAAAACCATATTTTTTTAAACGTTATCCAAACTACTTCATTGTATTAAAAAATGTGTCAACTTTTTCGAAAAAAGAACAAACATAAACAATGTGTGTTGCAACTTGTGGTAAGATATGAAATGTTAGTCAACTATATGTGCATAAGTATCACGCTCAAGCTATACTGTTTTTAAAGGTTGTTTATTTAAACACTTTTCAAGAATTTCGTTTTAGCACTGACATTTAACTGACTATGGCGTGCTGTTCGTAATGTTCTAACATCAATTTCAAGTGCTTGCAACATAAACATTTTGCAAGATGTACAAACACTATCATACATGCAAATCCCTGCAGTTTTATAATGGAATCGATGGATACCTTTTGGATAAATGTGTAACTATTCCATTGTCCATTTCTAATGAAAATTAATAGGGATTGTAATATGTAAACCATCCATAGACTTTCCCCTAGAAGATTCATGTAAGTATTACGCTAATTAGTCGGTTGAGAAGTGTATATAAGTGTAGCTCTGGTAAAAATACAAGTGCGGGACAGTCACCAGAATCTGCAGGTTTTACCTTGAAGTATGAATAAATGTTTATATATGTGTTCTTGCTGTTTTCATTGTATGCGTATGACTGATTTTTTCTAATGGATCTCAACAGTAATTTCAGCTCAACAAGTGCAACACGTTTGCAACTGACACTTGTAATAATTTCATTTTGACATGTATAGCACACAAAAAAAAACTGACAAGTCAAGATAAAACTTTATCAAAGACAAACATGCAGTGCTGTTGACGGTGGTTTGTCATAAAATGAAATAAGTTGTTTCAGATGTAATAACATTAAGGTGTTTATGACTGTAAATATGTATTCTCTAGAATACGAACTTTTCACACAAACACAATACAAACTCTTAAATATTCAGAGTCCTCTCGACATCTCCGTCCGTCTGACTGCTAAATGCACAATAGATCCCAGAAAAAAGAACATAAGAAGATAAAATTTCCCAAAGAAAATGGACATTATCGACCACGATTTCACATACCACCATCTATATATATAAAAATGAATGTGTGTTTGTTTGTATGTTTGAACGTTATAGACTACTAAACGGCTGAACCGATATTCTTAAAATTTTCACAGCGTATGTCTTCATGTCTGGAATAGGTAATGGGCTACTTTTTATTTTGAAATTCCAAGTTGGCGGGGTGCCACGCCCATATTAAGAAAATATGAAATGCGTATATTTGAGATAATATAACAGTTAGAGTCCTCAAATTTTTTCGGAGCCACTATAGTGTCAATATGATTATTTAGGACAAAAAGTTGGCGGACTAGCATTAGGGGGCACTTTCCATATATATCAAAAAAAAATTCGTTTATCTTGAAAACTATTACAGTTAGAATCTTAAAATTTTGTGCGAATAACGGCACCTCCCATATTAATTAAATACAAAAATTCGTTTATCTGGGAAACTAATGGAACTAAGCTCTTCAAATTTTGCACGAAGAACTTAAATATTCATCTGAACATTTTGGAGGAAAAAAAGCGGACTTCCATCTAGGGGGGCTAGAAGCCCCCATATGAATTAAATAGAAAAATTCGTATATCTAAGAAACTATTAGAGCTAGAATCTTCAAATTTTACTTGAAGACTTTTGACATTCATCTGAACATTTAGAGTATAACGGACGGACTTTCAAAGGAAAACTATGTACCTACCATATGAATTAAATATAAAATTTCGTTTATCTGGGAAACTAATAGAACTTTATTCTTAAAATTTTGCACAAATTATTTTAATATTCATCTGAACGTTTTAGGGAAAAAGTGCGGGCTTTCATCTGGGGAGCTTGAAGCCCCCACTGAGAAACTATTAGAGCTAGAATCTTAAAATTTTACATGAAGAACTTTGATATTCATGGGAACATTTAGAGAATAACGGGCGGACTTTCAATGGGTGGCTTGGCACCACATATATGATTTAATTACAAAATTTCGTGTATCTTGGAAACTCTTATATTCTTCAAATTTTTCATAGATAGATAGAAATTGGCGATAGATAGAAACAGGCGAACTTGCAATAATTTGCTTGACATCTCTCAAATGTAACATATTGTGAATCTGGAAAACTATTGTAGTTAGAATCTTCAAAATTGTTAAGTGGGTTTTTATACCCTACACCACTTTAGTGGGGAGGGTATATTGGATTTGTGCTGATGTTTGTAACATACAAAAATATTCGTCCTAGACCCACCTTAATATTGAAGATAAATGCTTTATTATGAAAAATAAATCACATTTAATATTCATAACTGGTGTAGGGTATCATATGGTCGGCCACGCCCCACTATACTTTCTTACTTGTTTATTTATACATATTGCTTTTAGGGTAGCAAAGTACACTGGGTATAGCAAGTACGGAATATAGTTGAAATAGAAATAACTAACTAACTAAATGCAGCGAAAACTTGATTTCTGTTGAAAGTTGGAGAAATCAGTTCACAATTCCATACCTCCCATACAAATTTACTAATTCTCGGAAAATTAATTTATTGCTTTTAACTTCCGTTGGAATGTCAATATCTTTACAAAATTTTACAAATTGAAGTTTTATGTTAATAGAATTCATATTCATCAAAAACATTTTTGGATCGGTCCAGAATTGGTTTTTACTCCCATGTACGATCCTCTTCCGAAAATCACTTAAACGCAAATAACTCACTATCAGATTATGATATCTATGATATTATTCTGTATCCTTATAGCTAGCGGAGTCGACTTAGCCATGTCCGTCTGACCTTCTGTCTATCCTTAAATAAGGAAGATATGAGCAAAAATCTGAGACTACCTCTGAAAACTTCATCAAAAATTTAGATTTTTTTAACCATACGGTAAATTTTATTATTGTACTTGCCTGTTTATAAAAATAAAGCAAAGAAACAATTATGAATGAAGTGTTGTTATTGGCTAGAAACATGAAATTAAGTATGTAGAGACCGGATTAAGTGAAAAGCTACTTTTTTATTATTATTAAGTAAGCGAGAACATATAAAAGGGGACTTTTTAGCACTTTTTCCCTCTTCATGAACCTAGAAACATAAAATTAAACAATAACTGTCTTATATAAAAACGTTTATTAAGTTAACATTGGCTGTTAAAATCTATTTTTATATGGAAAAAGTGTGTAGTCAACCATTGTTAACTTTAATAATTGTTTTTGCATAAGGCAGTAAGAGTCCTAAGTTAGTATAGATCTGCAGGAAATGATTTTTGGTAATATTTCGTTCTATGACTGGTATTTTTTTGCTCTTATGCACGCAGGTATCACCCTGATTGATTGAAAATCTTTAAAATGAGACTTTCTGGTACTTTTTGGTTGAGCGACTGGTATTTTTATACCCTACACCACTTTAGTGGGGAGGGTATATTGGGTTTGTGCTGATGTTTGTAACGCACAATAAGATTGGTCCTATACTACAGGTCGCAATTTTAAAGATAATTCATTGAAATTTGGTACATGATCTTCTACTGTCCCAGGGACGAAGCCTATTGAAAATGGTTAATATCGGTCCATTATCTCACCTAGCCCCCATACAACTGAACCCCCGAATAGCGCTTGTAAACCTTGTAATCAAACTACCGGTCGCAATTTTGAAGATAATTCAATAAAATTTGGTACACGATCTTTTATTGTACGAAGTCTGTTAATAATGGTTAACATCGGTCCATTATTTCACCTAGCCCCCATAAAACTGAACCGGACTAAAAGGCCTTTTAAGTTCATAATTATGTTTAATATACTCGTATCTCGACAAAAAGCTGCAAAACCAAGTTCTATACTAGCCTTGATGACCCTCATGAATTTTTTAATTATAGGGTCTCATTTGACCATGGCCCATATTCAAAGCCCCCTTCAAATTCAACTTAAATATCCACAATTTTATTCAACAATAAATGACTTAAGTATATCTGAGGTAAGGTACAATTCAACTTAAATACTTTATTATGAAAACTAAATCACATTTTTTTTTTGTAACAGGTGTAGGTTATTGTATGGTCGGCCTCGCCTGACTATAATTTCTTACTTGTTTGTAGTAAAATTCGACTGATTTTTAGCACATCATGGTGAAAAACAGCACCTGTTTTTTTCTAAAGTGGACATTATACAGATAAATATACGATAAAACATTATACGGGAATCCGCGAGAATCTTATTTGAAAGTTACAATTGATGTCTGTAATGATGATGTTTGTAATGTTCAATAAATCTTACTATTGTAACACATTTGAAATATTAGAGTTTTGATTTACACAAATAATTGACCAAGTAAACTGGCATTAATAAAGAAGAAGCTGGTGGAGGGTATTTAAGATTCGGCTCATCTGAATATAGCATTCTAACTTATTTTTATACCCACCATCAAAAAAGATAATTGACTTAAACCATATTCCAAATATTGCCCTTATATTTAAAGGGGGAGCATTCCTGTTACGGCATACGGTTTGATGATGGGTATATGAGATTCGGCACAGCCGAATATAACAATCTTACTAGTTATTTTTGAATAGTTGTTCTTTTGTTAAACATTTTTTTAGACAACTCATGAAACTACGCAAAATTTCATTTTGTTGCTTATTACAAATAATCTTTGATAAGTATATTGACCTTAAAGATTTTTACATTATGATAAGGACTAAACTTATTTCAAGTCACATACCATTTTCTGTTCTCTTTCCTTT